AGAAACACCCGCCCCCCCCGCCGCGCGCCCGCCCGCACCCGCCACAGGAGAGTTCAAAAGCCCCGGCAGCACCCGCGGGCAGGGGGAGTGAGAGAGAGAAGGCGGGCAGCACAACCAATGTGCTGCAGCTCCCCCGTTGGAAAGGCACCAGCAAGGCTGCAACGGATCCACGCTGCAGCGGAGGCAAGGTTGGGAGAACCCTGACAGAGGCAGGAGGAGGCTCGAAGCCTCTATCGGAGGCAGGGGGCAGGAAGCTCCCTGTCCTACCCCAGGTAGGGAGCGGAGAAGCTCCAGGATCCCTCTCAGGAGGAGGGAATCGGGGAGCACCGAGGCTCCCTGCACGGAGGAGCAGGTACCCTAAGGGAAATAGGGGCAGAGATAGGTGGAGCCCTCCCTAGGGATTGCTGGGTACCTGACGTCAGTACAGGAAGTCTCCCCGCCCAGGCAGAATATTATTTCTAGAGGAAAAGGGGAAGAAGGACTGCCAGAGCTAGCAGAGGCGCCAGCGAGAGTAGAAGACAGGCTGGCCCAGTGATATTGCTAGGCCTGGGTACACATAGTCGGAGGAAAACCAACGGCAGGCCTGCAGTGCACCGTAGGCCGCCATACCACCAGCACGTGATCAGTTGGCGAATGGACGGGGTGTAGGGGTGGCGGAGCCCCGTGGAACAACAGAGGCGTCAACCATGAGTACACCCGCACCGGGGAACCCCTCAACTAAAGAGCTCCACTGAAACCCTCTCACAGATCAATCGTAACAGCAAAGTCGTGGCAGGCGGGACGAGGGGAGGGGCTACCTAGATGACGGATGGTACCGGACTCAAGGCGTCCATCATCACACCCACCAAAGGCTTCAAAAACAAAAATTCATAAACATTTTTGGACCTGGTCTTTTAACTCCCAAGATTTGTGAATTAAGACTTTACTTACAGCTAGTGAAATTTCAGGATCTTCATCAAATGAATCGGCATCACTCTCTTCAGTCTGATATATTGTTACTTGATACACCTGATGAAAGAATGTATATTTTAGCTTCATTTTGCTCAGTATTTTATTTCCCACTAAACTTAAAGCAGGTAGTTCAGCATACCTAAGAATATTTAAAACAAAAACATATTTTTAAGATAGGAAAATTAAACTTGATGTATACATGAGCAGATGGCTGCACATATTTCCTCTGTGAACTGAATTTAGGATAAGCACTGCTTTTTCATGGTTAGAGACTAGTTAGTCCAAGTTTTGGAAGCTTTTGCTCTCAAATGTAAACTAACTGAGAGGTGTGCAATGCGCGCACATCCTCAAATGCTCAATGTCCACTGTGAATGACATTTTTAGCAATAAGAAAACATTTCACTCATCACTCCAGCAGG